TTTAATAAATCTGCTAAAATGTCAAATTCTGTGTTTTTCTGTCAATATGGGGTGCTGTGTGTACATTAATGAGGAAAAAAAATGAACTTGAATGATTTTAGCATATGGCTGCAATATAACAGTGAAAAATTTAAGGGGGTCTGAATACTTTCCGTACCCACTGTATATACACACACACACACACACAGCCACACCATGAAAGATGCACACATCACGTCTGTCTCAGCTAAGGTAAACTTACTTAGAAATCCTGTCCATGTTTGCGATTTGTTTCTGGTTGCGAATGACCTCGATGGCCGCCCACACATACTGAACCACTGTAGGGTCCGCCTGCCTCTTCCTCACCACACGTGACATGAGTTCCTTATTCATCACAACTGCGGGAAAGAAAAAAAAAAACAGATGAGCAGATATTTGTCTTTCTTTTGTGAATGAAAAAGAGACAAGGGCACATAATAAAAACAGCCTGAAACATTTAAATAAATACTTTACTTCACTGTCATACCATAACACTAAGAAACAGCTGTAAGAAAATACTGTAGATGCAAGAGGCTAAACTCTTAATAGTAGTAGTGTCACAAATTAAGGAGACAGTGATTGTTGTGATGTTAAGAGCAGTAGCAGCCAAAATAAAAAATTGTAGCAGTGTTAATAGCAGTGACAACAGTGGTACTAATATCAGTAATGTTTCTCTGTATAACTCACCAAGTAATCATCAAGTAATTCTGCCAAATAATCAAAAGTTCATTTTACACTGAATGAACATAATACTCCAACAGCTGTATCTATAAAGTACACATACTCCAATATAACACAATATGATTCCACACATATGATTAGCTGTAATGATTTCCAATATTATTTGATCCCAAGTTGACTGTGTAACAAAGACATGGCACTAGAAAAGAAAATGTATAGAAAACCCAAAATGAAGTCTATAATAAATCATTATGCCTTTATACAAATGTGAAAAATAAAGTACATGAGATTAAATTCTTAGTGCATTTACCAAGAGCTGGTACCACCACAAAAAAAAAAAAATCATTGATATAAATCATTTTAACAAGAAAGCATGTTTTTCACAGCCCTGTGTCATTTCCTGTGCAGGATTAGTCACTTAAACATTCATGACACCCTATACCAAGTGCGCCATTCACTGTGGAAGAGCACTTTGTACTGTGATTCTCTCTAACAAACATCCCGTGTGCTCAGGTTTCTCATTTATGTTCAGCTGATATTAGATGACCTAATCATCAAGGCCACAGGGAAACATTTTCAGTTGTGCAGAGCTGTGTTATAGGAACCTGTGAGATAAAGAGCCAGTTTGGCTTCCAGCTGCTTCACAACAAAGACCAAGGACCAGAAAAATCACGTGACTGTCCTTAATAACATTAATGACCACTATGCATAGTCAGGTGATCTTCTCATACTTTCAGCGCTTTTCTCATTTTGCTAATATTCACACTGTATGTAGTATATGCTGCATATTACATAACCGCTACAACTGCCCATAAAAACCAAAGACTAAGGAAATGGTGTCAGTAACAGACCACACATGTTATCTGATGTAGCTTTACTCGTTCAGATACTGGTCAATACATATAAGAGTATTAGTCCAGGTGTTAAGACATATCCAAAAAAAAAAACAAAAAGGCCTTCCACCAACATGATGCAGCTGAAGGCTTCTGAGACAAATCACCGGTGTGCTATTCTTTTTAACGGTACCTCTAATCTAGAACCAAATAATTCAATAATCATCCTTGAGTCACCTAAATCAAAGAGGAAATGCATTTCAGCTCAGAAACTCTTTTTTCAACTTCTCTCATGACAGTGAAATATAATAAATAATTCATACTGGAAGAAAACTACCGCCCCAACCATTAAAATGTCGGTAGATGACTTAAGCTATATAAAGAGATTTATCAGGTTTTAAAACACAAACCTGCTAGATTTCTCAGACTTTGGCAAACCCTTATTAAGCAACTAATTCATATTTTACATCTTTGTAAAATTTTACAGTAATCTACAAATATTAGCCAAAGATATTTGTTAGTTATGATGGGATAGTTGTCGCTCTTGGCTGCTTTCCCCTCTCAGTCTGTTTTATTACTATTCCTATGTTTTTCACAGGAACATGAGCAAACTGCTCAACAGGAACATGTTTGAAAGATCTGAGCCTAGGTGCTTTGTTTTAGAAGTATTCCAAGCACTACGTTTTAAGATACAGTACTTTGAATAGAAGTTCTTGGGAAACAGTATGTGTGGCTGCATGGATCACTGACAACTCCTAGAAATATTTGCTCTGTCCTTGGCCATAGTTTTTCATGCATTTGGTATCTGACATTAGTCAAGCTAAAGCTACACTTCTTGCTAAAGGCTTTAATTTTCAATTATGCAGAGAGTCTATTATTAAAATTCACATATGTAAGCCTCAGGCTAGACCTCTGAAAAGCATGACAGAGATATTTTATCATGCTTTGTTGTCATTTTTAAAACCTCAGACTATTTCCATCCTTGCTCAGTGAACATCACAATAAACAAGGAGGTGGTGATAGAAGCTCAGAAAATGCCAGAGAGAAATTGACAAGCAGAACTCTTAGACCTTCAAAGGTTCTCAGTAATACTGCTTTGACTCTGTGCTGTGGTGCACAAGCCTGGCCTTCCTGGAATATCTCCAGAAATTCAAATCCAATTTTATGCAGGCCTCTTCTTTAACCAACCGTGAAACTTAAGATGTCACATTCATAAATCACAGCCAAAAGCTAAACATAATAATACTCAGAGTGTTTTAATATGAAGGAAGATGCTTGGTTTCAGTGCACTTTGTGATAAAAGAGGCTGGGACAGAGGGAGGACATTCATCTTCCCACTTGTGGTTTAGGGGGAAAGACAGCATGGAAGAAAAAAATACCCGTTTCATGTTGAGAGCAAACATGTAAACCAGTCAAGAATAAATACATACGACTCTGAAGTCAAAACAAAGCATGAGCTCTGGTAACGCAAACAAGTAAAACATATTATGTAGAAACACAAGGGTTCATATTTTTGTCAGCATGGAAGTTTCTTAAGTTGAGGCTGCACTTGCTCAAGATCTAAGTCTGGGCAATACACAGATATCAGCTTGGTGTATATGCTACTATTGCTGCAGGTCAGGCTCGTAGAAAATCTAATTATCACCATCTGGATTCCACTGAATGTGACCTTATTGTCTAATTACTAGACTTATCTGCCCATATTTTATTGATTAAAAATCAAAATGTTTCTTGATGGATTACTGAACGGGCCAACCGGGCACAGGCCCAGGGGCCCAAAGAGCTTGCAAGAAAAATATCACAGAAAGAAACAAAAATAAATAAAAAGGCCAAAACAAGATGCAAAACAACCACAAGAAAATTGAAAATTTACTATAAAGAGATGCAAAACATTTTCAAAAATCAAAATAATAATAATAAAAACACAAACAAAACCCGTCTGTTTCAGTCTTGATGTAGGTGTTGTTGGTTATGATAGGATCAATGTGTAAATATGCTGACATTGATGTTATTTATGCCACAGAGAAAAAAGGAGGCAAGGCAAAACAATATTTTTCACCTATTTTGGCTCCAAACATCACTCTTGGTTCAGAGAACCAGAATAAGAAGAAAACCAACCCAGACATTAAAAATCACGTTTGCAGTTTAAAGAGAAAGAAGAGGGGAGCAGGAAGGTGACTGAGTAATGTGACTTTTCCTATTCTGTGTCAAGTGAGCTTTGCAGACCGCTCACATCCCATCCTGGACACAAACTGTTTGAACTTCTCCCCTCTGGATGGCGCTACAGAACACTGTAAGCCAATACAACCAGACACAGTTTCTTTCCCTGTGACATTACTGATAAATAGTTTTTGTCTCTTTTTCTTGTTGTCTTATGGAAGCACACTGTCAGTCACTGCACCAGAGTCTGATTTCTCGTGTGTTCAACATACCTCGCCAGTAAAGGATTCTGAAGGAGAGCCACCTGTGTCCAAATGCCAGTGCAGCAGGGCCACGCCAGCTTTCCCTCCTCCATATGTAGCTGTTGGGCTGGCATGTACACTATACAGCCACCTCTGCCTCCAGAGAGCTCACTCTACATGATGACCGGCTCTGCACACCAACACGCTGCCCTATTAGCCAAGGTGTGCCACATCAGAAGCCAATTATAAGTCAGCCAGCTCAGGATGAGAGAGTTTTATGGCTGCCAGGGTAACGGCACTGTTGTACTCTCCTGAGAAAACCTGACAGTCTTACCTAACATTACACTAAAATCATAGCAACTGGTTAATACGAATTAAATAAACTCTGACAGTAAGACATGTTGCAAAGGTGCAGTGCCGTCTTAAGATTTCCATTCACCTTTAGCCAGCTAATAGCGACCAGGTTGACACTGATATGACGAGACCCAACGAGATGTTCTGACAACAAAACTGCACTGTAGCATCGTGATGTGAAACTTTACGAAAACCTATTTAAATAATACACAAGACACAACTACCTCTGGCAACAAAGAGACAGCCGAGGAAGGCCACTACCTTTTAATAAGCCCAGTTTAGCTACTAAGTTAGCAGCCTGGCTAAGGTCCAGGCCAAAGCTTGTCCAGACAAAGACAGCAATTTAACTTTTCTGTTTGATTGAAATCATCCAAATAATGTTGAATATAAATTAAATGATAACACAAAAGCCAGAACAACAACCCAAACCAATAGCTGGTATGCAAACAGACAAACGTGGCGAGTTAACGTAGTTTTTGTTAGCGATGCTAGTGAACTGTTACGGAGCCAGCTAACTCTAGCAGGCTAGCTAGCAAACCTAGTCAACTTGTCAGCGCATCACCGCATAACCCATAATCACAACAACAGTCTGGTACACACACAGCTCTATCCGTAGTCACAATATAGCGAAACATCATCAGCTAACCAGCTACCCACTCGTTTGTTTGGGAGGGCGCCATGTTCATAATCCTCCATCACGGGACTGGAAAGGCAGCTAGCTACAACTAAGCTAAGAGCGTCTAGCTTGGTGCTAGCTAGCCGCAGTGTTGTCATTGAGCTTGTGCCATTTTCAGCTGAATAAAAATCAAACTCACCTCAGCTACAGTGTCACTAACACACAGCGCTGCAGAAAATCCTCCGAAGATTGAGTGCGAGGCAGGTTACATCAGTATTTGTCAGGGTAGCTGATGCTGCGGACAGTGGTTTGTGTGCAGCTGGGCTCGGAGGTAAACACAGACAGCGCCAGGCTGCTGCACCACAAGGAGGACTCTAGTGGTGGCATGGGAATACTGCGGCCCACACCCGGGTTCT